ACTGTATTTTTTTGACGAAGAGAACTTTTGCACTTCGTAAAAAAAATCCCTGAAATCGTGAAAAAATGACCAAATTTCATTATATAACTGTATTTTTTTGACGAAGAGAACTTTTGCACTTCGTAAAAAAAATCCCTGAAATCATATCTTTTATACAAGATAGAAAATCTTACTCGCCTAAAACTCTATGAAAATCGTAAAATTTCTCTAGACCGACTTTTTTCGGGGTTGCCTAAAACTCATGAAAATCGTGAAAAAATGACCAAATTTCATGATATAACTGTATTTTTTTGACGAAGAGAACTTTTGCACTTCGTAAAAAAAATCCCTGAAATCGTAAAAAAATGACCAAATTTCATGAATTTCCTCATATGTTTGCGACCCGAGGAAAACCGAGGAACGAGATTCCATTCGAAAATCGTGAAAAATTGCGACCCAGACTTTTTCGAGGGTCGAGATTCCGTACGAAAATCGTAAAAATTTGCGACCCCGATTTTATTCGGGGTCACCTAAAACTCATGAAAATCGTGAAAAAATGACCAAATTTCATTATATAACTGTTATTTTTGACGAAGAGAACTTTTGCACTTCGTCAAAAAAATCCCTGAAATCATATCTTTTATACAAGATAGAAAAAATAAAGTTAGTTTTTTTTAAAAAATATTTTTTATTTTGTATGTAAGAACAGAAAATGTTAAAGGTTGAGTTTGAAACAGTTAGAAAGATAGACAATGACACCAAAGTGGTTAGAATTGGTGATTTAAACGTAAGATACTCAAAGAAATACAACAAATATTCTTTGTCAGACATTCTAACACTATCTGGAAAGAAAACATCCCACGACTGGGTTAGAACTGCTTCTACTCAGAAAATTTTGACAAGAAATCCTGAGCTGATGATATCGGTAAGATTCTATGGAACTGCAGCATATCTCATCGACAAAAGTCTTATACCAATAGTTTTGTTATGGTTAGACCCAGTTGTTGGATATAACTTCATAACACATGGTTCATTCGATACGGAACGTTGCAGTGAAGGCTTACTTTACATCGTTCAGAAACCGAAGGACTTCAATACAAAGAGATATAAGATAGGAAGAACATATAATATAACTCAAAGATATGACAGTATAGTCAATAGAGTCAAGGTTGTGTTCGTTAACGATATGAGAGCTGCTGAAACAGAACTACTTGAAAAGTTTGAGAAAATGTATGGTGCTCCCACGAAAGGTAAAGAAACGTTTGAAGTAGATGAGATAGATAAAGCTATAAAATTATTTGACGAAGTTGCTGAAAAATACATGTAAAGCGTTTATTTTTGGTCTTTTGTGAAAGTCAGAAAATAACGCTAATTTTTTATAAAATATTTTTTTTATTTTGTATGTAAGGACAGATATGTCAACATCAGAGAACACAACAACTGCTATCGTTCATGAAGATATAAATGAAGAATACGAGTGGGTTCAGTTTAACAAACAGTTACGTCTCATTCGTTCGGTCAAAGACGATATGTACCAAATGCAAAGTATTTTGACAGCATGTTTTGCACCAGATACCAAACATACAGACGATTGGTTCAGAAACCAAAGCACACAAGAACTTTTGAGTGAAATTTCTCTAGACCGAGAATTCTCGGCCTTGCATAAAACACATGAAAATCGTAAAAATTTGCCAATAAATTTAAGAGGTTGGTATGTTCATAGACTTTTAGTAAATGCTGTTGCAATATGGGCTTCGCCTCGTTATGCTTGGTATATTTACAGACTTCTTGACGAAATTCATAGACAAGAACGTGAAGAGATGGAAAAGAAACTTCATGCAAAAGATGAAGTCATTGAAGCAAAAGATGAAGTCATTGAAGCAAAAGACAAAAGCCTTCAGAAAAGAATACCACGTTCGGTACCAAAAGGAAAGGAAAAGAACTATAAGTATATGATTTATACTGAAGAGATGGAAAATGAAGAAGACAGAGATATGGTTATGTTGCATTTAGTCAGAAGAAACAACAAAAGCTTTTACGACCTTGCTAAGATTTACAAATCTGACAGAAATTGGTTCTATCGCGAAAACTTACCGATTTCAATGACACCAAATGAAGATGTGAAACAAATAGTTCAAGATACTTTACCTCAAACACACTATGATATTAAAGGTTGTACAATACTTACCTTCAAAGAAGATTTGCCGCTACTGAAAGAAAAAATAACAGAGTATTTTGACAACTTCAAACAAGTAGGGTAAATGAACCATTTATTTTTACGCTTGACTTCAGATGGCTCAGGTAGCTCTATAAGGTAAATTGTCTTGTCAAATCCTTCTGGCATTCCGAGTCCTTCCTTCCGACATTCCGAGTCCTTCCATCCGACAGGAAAAGTCCTTCCTTCCGACAGGAAAAGTTTTTCTTTCCGACAGGAAAAGTTTTTCTTTCCGACAGGAAAAGTTTTTCTTTCCGACAGGAAAAGTTTTTCTTTCCGACAGGAAAAAAATTTTCTGTTGTTCGTCCGTAAACCATTCAAATTTTCGAAAATTGAGAACTTTTTGGTCGAACTTCAGAAAAAGTTTTTCCTTCCGACAGGAAAAGTTTTTCTTTCCGACAGGAAAAGTTTTTCTTTCCGACAGGAAAAGTCCTTCCTTCCAACAGGAAAAGTTTTTCCTTCTGGCATTCCGAGTTCTTCCTTCCGACAGGACACAAACGAATGTCCGACGTACCACCAACCGAGTCCATTCCAAAGCCAGAAGAACCGAAAGCTGCAGAACCACAACAGACTAAGACTAAACACTTACATTTTTACGCTTGACTTTTTACAATTTGAACTTTGTTTGCGTAGATATGAATTCTGAAAGAAGTATGAGGGTCTTGTATGACTTTGTACTTCTCCATAGTTCATGTCTGTCAAACTTACCTGCCATGGACTCTTTCATAAGTTCCATGAAATCGTCTTCGGACAATCCGGGGAAAAGTACAATGTCAGTAAGTATTCTCTTTACATCCTTACTTAAACTCTTTGCTGTCTGTACACAAATGACAACTGAGATGTTAAAGTGTCTGAGCTTCTTAAGAATTCGACACATGTCTTGTTCTCTGTTCTTTAACAAAGGATGAGAAGCAAAGTCATCTAAGATAAGAAGACATCTATGAGGGTACGTTTTCCAATCGTAAGATTGCAATTTCTCGAAATGTATTCTATCTCTTTCTGTTTGTTTCTGAAGTGTTTCTTCTCTAATATTCTCTGCATTTCCTCATTTGGGTCTTTAAACTTAGAATTTATATACTCATTTATAGCATTGTACTTCAAAACCCTTCTTTGGTACTTCTTTATCCAATCTAACAACTCAGAGTCTTTTATACATACTAACTTAGACTTCTTTATAATATCTTTGAACGAATTGACGGTTTGGTCAAATTGACCAGAAGTACTACAAATAACAACTAACTCATAGAATGGGTTCTTCTCATCTAGTTCTTGTTGTTGTGCAGCCATTTTAAGATAAGTGAAAGTCTTACCCGACCCAGGTGGTGCAATTAGACCTGTTATACCATTCTGAGCAAATAAGAACTTGTCATGTATGGGTTTTATCTGAGCATTTTCCAACTTCCTCTTGTTCTTATTTAAAACATTCTCAAATTTTTTGTCAATGTCAGCAAACTTTTTTTCTAACATATTTTTAGAAAAATTAAAATTTTTATCTTTTAGAAAATGTCTAGCGATTTCGCCATCTATATTCGAGACAAGCTTTTCGACAGCAAAACATCTGTCGACCATAAAATCTTACATAGTGTAAACAAGAAAGGTGAATTTGTTCTAAAGTTCTGTTTCTGGGAATATGACAAGAACCATAAAACATTAAGCAGAGAAGTCTTAAAATTTGTCAATGACAGACTTGTTGACAGAGATGACACCGATTGGAAAGATGAAGTCCAACAAAAGTTCTTAGAATGCAAAGAAGACACATGCGCTGTTCTTGAAGATGAAATAGAAAACAGAATAGATGAGCTATTAAAGGACAAAGAACTTTTACATAAATATAGTTGCGCCAAATTTGACATAACTCCACCAGAAAAGAAGAAGAAAGAAAAGAAAGAAAAGAAAGTAGAAGAAGAGAAGAAAGAACCTGAACCAGTTCCAGAGAAAAAGAAATTTGACATGTAAAAATAAAATTTTATTTTTAGAACATTTCTGGGTCAATGTCAATGTTCTCTTCCTCTTTAGGAGCAAACACTGGCTTAGACTCTAAAATCTTTTTACCCAATTTACCTTGAACTTCAACTATCTTAGACTCATAATATTCATAGTCGTCTGCTTTCTTTGGTTCATAAGGTATAACAAGTTTGTATGCTTTGCCTTCTTTAAGGTTTGAGAACCTTCTGTCAAAACTTTCTTTGACTGTTAACAAACCTTCTATGTCTAAGTCTTCAAATTTCGCACCATTTTTAGTCACAATAGCAAACTTAACTGGTTCGATGTTCCAAACTTTGCTGAATGAAGACTGTTCAAAATGGTAGAAGTAAACATTCAAATATGTGAATGGGTCTAGTTCTTCTTTAAGTCCTGACATGTACTTGTTTACTGAGATGAATTTTGTCATCTTTTCTATCGGATAAAAAAATATTTTTTCGAAAAAATAAACTTAGAAAAATTATTTCTTTATATATTTGCCATTCCGAACTTCGAAAAGATGTTTTATACCAGCATAGAATTTTTCTCTAGAGCTTGGTCTTATATCGTTTTCATGACAATATTTTCTATATTCTTCATATAAAGCCTTTTTTTCATACATTTCATAAGGACAATCTAACCAGAATAGCGCATATCCATTTTCGTTATCTAGGTCTCTATATGTTTCTTCTGTTTGTAGAATTTCGCTTTCTCTATTTAGTTCTATGTCTATATATTGTGGCTTAAAAAGATGTGGGCAAGAAGGGTCTGGCGCTATGTAAAAAGTTAATTTTTCTGTCATCTTTTTCTATCGGATAAAAAAATATTTTTTTTTAAAATTTACTCAGAAAAATTTTTCTTTGTATATACACCATTCTGTACGTCTAAAAGACTTTTGACATTTGCCAAGAATGTTCGTTCTGGCTGATTTAGTTCCATTTAGTCTTGTGAAAGTTTCGTTAGGATCTTTTTCGTTTCCTTCAAACTCTGGTGAATGGTATTTTGGCATCAAACCTTCTAACTCGAATAAGAACTCTCTTTCTAATGTATCAATAACAAGCAAACCTTTCAGTACTTTTCCATACATCTTTGGCTCAAAAATAATGTCGCAAGGAACTTCGGTTTCATCTTCAGTAGAAGCTTCAATGTAACCACGGCCTGGAGAAACCGTAAACTCTGCTGCGGAACCTCCTGCAAAGTAAGCTCTGAAGGGAGTCCTGATTGGGAAGCTTGGTACTTTAACTCTTTGCTTAACGCATTGGTTCAAAACGCATTTAAGAATTATTGACTGTATTGGTTTTCCTGGTAAAACCGAAATTTGAATAACAAAATGCCATTTTTGCCCTAATTGATTAACAACTGTAACATCAACTGAGGTCTCAATTGGCCTTCTTGGATGCATCTTTGCTTTCAAGTGTAAATGAATGTTTTCATTTGATGTCGTAACTTTTTCTGGTTTGATTTCAAATATGCTTCTCAAGAATTCATATCCTTCTGCAAATTGAGGAGTTATTATGTAATCATTTGGTTGATAGCTTTCTTTCTCTCCTACTAATGGAAGATCTATGTCAATAGCTATCTCCGAGTAGGCATGGCCTTTCATTACAGGGTTAATGTTTCCTTCCGCCGTTGATGCATTTCCTATAATTGGAATCGACCACCGGACCGACTCTGTGTCTATTACAATAGATCCAACAAATTGCCCGGCTGTTTTTGGTGCAAAAGAGAATGGTATTTGTAATTCTTCATTATATAATCTAAAGAAATGCTGTCTCTTCTTTGTAAGTAGTTTGAATTCGCTAGATGATGTCAATGACCACTGTGTTTTAACTGGCCTGTTGAATGGATTCTTGAAAATAGCTATCGCACTCGTTGGTGACATAACTAGTCCTTCCACAATGACAGGAGATAAAGGCTGAGGTGGTTTACCAATTCCAGATACTGTATAGAACCATTCTCCAATGTCATTGGATTTAACATAGATATTACCACTTTCCTTGACTCCAACGCAGCTTGGTATATATCTGATCTCAATTTGTTTCTTCTCGAAAGGATTTAAACTGAACATCTTCTTTCCTAAAATAACAAATGAGTTGTTTTCATCATCTCTAATGACGAAATTTGCTTTTTTGTTCAGTGGGTTCTCTATTGTGATAAAGTACGATGCATATTGACCAACAGGAGCTGTAAGAGGAGCAATGACACTTGTTTCTGGTTGAGATACATGTAACTCCAAATTATAAATGAATTCTCCTTGGCTTTCGTTCGAAAATGATATTGATGAAGTCTTATCGAACTGTGTCAAAGGAGAGAATATCAATTTGTATTCAGTTGTGGTCTTCCCTGCAACTTTAAATTTCTTCAAGCCAAAGAAATCAGTATCATCAAAGTCAACATCAAATTCCATTTCAGTATCGTTGTCATTTGTGATTGGGATGGAAACTGTCGCTGATTGTCTTGCAACTGTCGATACCTCAATTGTCTGTTCTGGAGGGGGTCTGTCAACATCTACTTCAATGATGTACCATTGGTAATATCCATTTGATGGGTCAGTGAAAGTGATTGTTCCTGCGCAAATTCCAGATTGAACAGAATATATTTTGAAGGGCATTTCTTGAATTTCTCCTTGTTTCTTAAACTCAAATGTCTTTGGAACATCTACAATTGGCAGATCTGTTGAAACATTTACTGTTCCTTTTGTAAAGCATTCCACTTTGAGTTTGTGAGGACATGTTTTCCTTGCCACTGCTGCAAATTTGATTTTTTCGTTTGCGGGTGGTTCTTGCACATGAGCAATCAGCTTGTATACAGTAACTGCTTCTTTTGTCATATTTGTAACAGTCAAATCAACTTTGAAATCGCCGATTTGTTTGCAGGAGAAGATAACAGGCAGCTGGAAAACTCCTTCGGCAGGTACAGAAAATCTATTTGGAACTGTAAACATTGAATTTGAAAGTCCAGAAACTGACGCTTTGAACTCCCAGATTCTTTTAGATGTGTTTTCAAATGGAATTTCTTGTTGCAGTTGTTGTCCAGCGACCATATTAAACTCGATAGAGAAAGACTGAGTATTTGCCAACCCAATTCCTTTTACAGTGTATACTCTGACATCGTAGTTGGACATCATTACCACCTTGCAAGGATATTCTCCAGGCTTAGTTGGAGTGAATGAGATGGAAATTCCTTTGTCTTTGACTTTGTCATTCATAGAAATGTATTGTTCAGGTACAGAGAAGAAAGTTGAGGATGATTGTATTGTGAATGTCTGTGTCTGGAATGATTGCGTGAATACATGAGTAACTTCTCGTTGTTTGATTGTTACTAATTCTCTGAGCTTACGTTCGGAAATGTAATTTGCCAAATTATTAACTCTTTCGCTTGAATACGCTAATGCCCACATCAAGTTGTTGTTGCACGAATCTATATTAACATTTGTAGAAACTTTGTGCTTGCATTCCACTTTGAGTTGGCCTGTTAAATCTGCTGATGGAACAGGAAGAAGAGGATTTCCAACGATTTCATAAACAAATTCACCAATATTCTGGTTATGGAAAATGAGGAAGCAGCGAAGTTTCTTCATCGAAATCGGGATATATTCCACCGATACCTTTGCATTCGAATTTTCTTTGACAAAAGATATTTCTCTTTGACTAAAAATAAATGATTTGTGTTTGTTTATGTAGTTCTCAAATGGATGCTTTGATTCAATGATATCGCCTTCGATTGACAAGTCATTCAAAAACATTTGTAATTGTTTCGAGCACTGCTCGCTCGATGTCGTATATTCAAATGTTTTAGAATAAAGCTTGTAATTTCCCGTCTTCTTTATAACATTTGGTATTTCCAAATCAACTTTTTTCTGTTTATACATCTCAGTTTCAATTGTTATTGTATTTTTAGGCAAAGTAATCTGAGTATTCGAAACTAAATCAACAACAATTGTACTAGCAAATGTAGGAACAATTCCATTTGTCATTGTCTTTGATAAGCCTAGCTTAGACTTTGTTGTTTGCGAAGAGATTGTCTGGGATTTTGGAGAGATTATTGGTGTTGAAGACTGACTGTCGCTTCTAAAAATTGCTTTTGGTCGTTCTGGTGTTAATGTCAATCTCGCAGTTTCAGGTTCATGAGTTCTTGAGAAATATTCAATGCTGAACTCGGCACTCTCGTGTGCTTGTAATGTAATTGTATTCTGAACTAAAGAGAAGTTCTTGGAACCTTCTAACTTGGCAGTGTATAAAATATCTCTGTTGGATGTGTTTGAAATTGTTACATTTTGTATCAAACTTGTGTTCAACGGAGTTTTGAATTCAACATTTGATCCTGGAATGAAATATGGTAAAGACATATAAAGTTGTATTGAAATTAAAGCTAGTGTTGGGCAATCGCCCTTTACAAAGTCAATTGAAGTTAAAGCAACATTTGACTTCAATTCATTTAATATTGAAACAAGACTTCCTGGATCTTTTTGACTAGACTCGAATAATGGTTTTGATACATGGGAATCTACAACATTACCGATAATGCTCACATCTTGTAATTCATGAAAATCAATAATTGCTCTTGCGCTAACACTCTTGGAATAATAAACTGAGAGCCACTTTAGAACTAGTCCTTCTTGATTGGAGTATACATTTGAAATTGCCCCTTGTCTGAATATTCTGTTGATTTCATTGAACTGATATTCGCTAACTTTACTTTTTAATGCTCTTAAAGAATCTAGGAATCCAGGGGTAGCATTGAATTTGGCAGTATCAATTTTTGATACATAAAACAATTTTATTACTTGCCATATAACTAAAGTCCAACTTTCATTTGACAAATTTGTGTAGTTTTCATCCAAGGCTTTCAAATCCTTTAACATTGAGTTCACAAATGACTGGGAAGCAGAAAAATTATTGACAATTTCATTTGGCAATGTATTTGTCTCCTGTGCGCCAATAAAATCTAAACCAAAAAGTTTCCTTGTAATTCTAGACCCGTTGAAAAGAAGGAAATCTTCTTTAGGAAGAAGAAACTCTGGTTTAACACTCGAAAGCATTGCGCCTTGACTGATCAGGTTCTGTAAAATATTTGATAAGTCTTTCAATTTAGAGTTATAATCTTTCTTATGGTATTCTCCTAAAGTAAGTTTTTTCCCGCCAAAGTTTTGAATAATATCACATAAAATATTTGGATCATTTGCAATGTCTTGAGGGAAATCACCAATTGGACTTGAAATTGCTGATTTATTTATGAACCTTCTAAGGAAATCAAGCATCTCTGGAGTTATACAACTCTTGATTTTGTAGTATTCATCACATGAATTTGAAGATAAGTACTTTGATAAATAATCAGGAGTTTCAATGTTTGTATTAATGAAAGGAGTTCTTCCTCCTTGCATCGAAATTTGGTATTTGTTCAATGAAATAATTGGATACAGAGTGAAAACACTGTGATCTGTTGTAGCAGAAACATTAAATGAATATGAATGGCCTTTGTCATCAATCAACGCAACGACTGTTGAAAAAGATAGTGGTTTGGTGTGGCAAAATGATATCTTAAGAGGAATAGATGCAACTGTATATTGTAAGGTGTTTGTTTGAGGAAATTCGACTTTTAATGGGATATTCTTTGTATTAACTGGCAATTCCGCTTTAAGAGATGCCTGAATGAAACAGAAATTGATGACGTCAATTGTTACAGAAGATGTCATGTTGCATGGAACAATAGGAAGACAGACATAGTTTGTGGATGTTTTAAATAAACGACTAGATCCAACTCCGCTAATCTGAAGGCTAGTTATCAAGACTTCTTCTTTGATAATTTCAACTTCATTCTGGTCTGAATTCTCAGTTTTAATAATTTTTTCTGTTTCAATAGTTGCATAAAGAGGAATTTCGCAACAAACCGGAATAATATTTGTTGGTCGGAACTTAAAGAAAACAGAGGTGGTCCCTAAATAGTCAACAGTACCTTCATCATTGTCAATGGTTATAACTTTTGGTAGTTTTTGTGAATCGAATCTAAACTTAACAGGTTTTTTAGATTCATTTCTTATAACAACTTCTTGATGACTTGGCCTACAGTTTGGATTACTTGAATCAAACAGAGGTGATATACCAAAGTCAACGCATGTTGTGTTAGGAAGAATTGGCGCATGTATTGCTTGAGCAGATACTATTGGATGTTCCTTAAGATTGATGTCTTTATTTGCCATGGAAATAGGGAGTTCGAATGTGAAATCTTGAACATCTATTGGCTGAAAAACGAGCATGAAATCAACATTTGAATCAGGTATTACGGTAATCTTGTAGGACTTAGAATTTTCTTTACCTGTCATTATGATTGCGTTACTCTTTCCATCTTGGCCGCATTGACCTAATTCTGCGGCGTATTCGATATTGAAGCCATCATAACCTGTCAAATCTAAATTGAGAGCGGCGGAAATTCTACCTTTGTTTACAATAGAGATTTTCTTTTTTTCGATTGCACCAATGAACAGTCTTCCATACTCCAAAGGTTCGTTCTTGATCGAAACAAAAGGAATTTGTCCACTTCCTTGTATATTAATTTTTACTGGAGAAGTTCCAGCAATGTCAATTGTCACAGGATGGGTGAAATCACCAGCAGTTGAGCATGAATAAGACACATTCAATTGCTTGATTTCATTTGAAACTATTCTTCCATAGCGAGGATTTATTGATAATCCAATCAAATCCGGATAATTTAGTTTAAACAAAGCATCATCAACTCCTGTATTCTTTAGTTTAATGACAGCATTCTGTTGGACACCAAGAGGTATCAATCCCAAATCTACTGTTTTCTTTGGAATAACAATCTTTGATTTACCAGTGTCACCAATCAAATTCAGAGTTCTCTGCAAACCTCCAACAACAAACAAAGTAGCCGTGCATTCAGAGTGTTGAACTTGTTCTGGAGTGTAAAATAGGACAATATCTTCTTTGGCTTGAGGTTGTATTGATCCTTGTTCGTGTTGAATACTGAATGGCTTTGTAATATTTCGCCAAGTGTAATGTGCAACAGCATTAGAGTTATTAAATAATGTCACTGTTTCAGAGCATTCGAACTTAGTTTGACCATATCCAAATCCAAAATTGATTTCCTTTTTGGATAGGCGCATTTCAATAGGAATTGACTGCGCCGCAATATTGATCTGATACTTGTGGAAGTTGTTAACAACATAAGAGATTGTTTTATTGAAGGTTTGCTCTTTAGTTGTGGAGAAAACGATCATAAAAGTGGCTGTTTGTAAAGGAGGAATAACTTGTGTTAAAGGGTTTGAATCCTTGAGTTCTTCATCACCTATCTTGAATTCAACAAAGATGTTTTGTTGGAGATTGTTTGTAATTGTAATCTCCTTAGATTGAGTCGAATAGACAGAGACAACTCCAAAGTTTATTGCATTAAGAGAACAAAGTACTGAAAGTTGCTGAGCAGGAGAAAGTTTACGAGAGCATTCATTAATTTCTGGAGGTGTTGTTGGCTTCAGTCGAAGGCGACCTGTTTGTATTTCTGTCAAATAATTCGAAGTGTTCTGTGTTGTGTTTTGTGAAACTTTTTCAGTTTTTTTTTCTGACATAAAACCTGGATCTGGTTCGTCTAATCCTTCACCGTACGTAATGCCAAAGTTTGGATCTTGTCTACCACCTTTCTTTAGTTCTGCATCTACAATTTCTTTGACATCATCTTCGTTAAAATTAGATTTTGTCATGGATAAATATTCTTTTGCTTGCGTTGATAATTCTTGATATAATTTAGTTTTCATTGTATGTTCTGATCTCTTTTCAGCTGAATCTGTGATATATTTATCAAATTGCTCTCTTTTCTTCAATTTTTCGTTCAATTCTATCTCATCCAAGCCAAATGCAGAAACAGGATGCTCCCTTGCATACTGAGCATCTGGAACTATTGACCAAACATCTGGTCTTATGAACTTTTTCTGTTCTAGATCCTTTTTTACTGCAATTCCAGAAAAATGTAGCATTTTTTGCGATAAGCCATTATTAATTAGAATAGGAATGTTATGTACAAACTCGCCCATATTACGTGGATAGAAATTGATGTTCATTGTCTTGGATTTCTGTGGAGGAATTACTAAATTTTCTGGAACAAATCGAAACTGGGCAACATTTTTGAGAGTTACATCAATTGGTAAGAATGAAGAATCATTTGTGATTGTCAATTTCTTTGTAACTGTTGTGTTTACGATCTGTCTACCGAAATTAAAATCAACTGGATCAAAAGTTGCAAATATTCCAACTGATGCACCCATTAATGAAATTTCGCTTACTTGTCTGGTCTCAAGCACATCAATTTTAAGTGAATGAGTAAAAACACTTTCGATATCATTTTCGAAATTCTGTAAAGGAGGACTAAATAATAAATTGATTTGTGTTTCAGCATTTGGTTGCAACACTCCTTCAAGTGGAATTGCTTGAAATATTTTAGTCGGATCGTGATCTGAAACTGATGCTGATTCCGTAATATGAGAGATTGCAAAAGATCTAACTGCTTTATCTGGATTTTTGATAGTAACTCCTAATACCTTCTTTTGGCCACTGTATATCTTGCCAAAATTTAAATCATCTATACATTTATTTTCATACCAAAATTGTAAAGGTGTACCTATTATATTTGCCTTAACAGTGATGTTTGGTATTGGCTCAATAACCCCTTCAACTTCTACCTTTAAAATTGCATTAACTTGTCCTGCTTCTTTCGAAGATACTGTAAATAATACATCATCTTTTCTTCCAGGATGCAATACACGTTCAGGATTGACTATTGTAAGATTTTTGTTGTTGGATGTGACTTTCATTTTGGTCTCTACACTACTATAATTTGTGATTGAAAATTTTTCGCTAATTTTGTTATTGATAGGGATATTACCCATGTCAATATCAGTGGAGGAAAGTGTAACTGCTGGGCATTTTGGATATGCAGTAATTGGTAAAATGATTTCGCCATTTGTAAATTTAACAATCAAAGTTCCTTTAACAACTTCATTTGATTTGGGAACATAAGTAATTGTTGTCTTGGCTTCGAGACTGTGGGGTGTGATTCCTCCTTTGTTCAAAGGTATTTTGAACGGAGAATTAGGAGGAACTGCAAATTTGATAACTTGAGGTCTTCCTGATGTATTAAGCGCCCAGACATCTAATGTATCTGCCTCGCCAACAACGCATTCTCGAAATACTAATGCTTCTGGCGAGATTTTCAGCGCTTTCATCTTTTCAATCTAACGTACAGTAACTGGATTTATACTTCCTAATTAGAGAACGAGTATATAAACATATTGCTAAATAAAATTTGCATATAAATATTTCCATAATTTTATAAAATTTATTTTGAATTCAATCAATAAATGTTTCAGCCAATAAATATCTTAAAAGTGCTTACTATATAATACATATTATTGGTTTTACTATATAAGAAGTCAAAAATATTTAAATTTAATAAAAAAAATTCGATTGTGGAATATTTCAATAAATCTCAATGAAATTTCTTTATCACTCATTATTTTAAGGCTATATAAAGTGTATCTTCATATTAAAATCAAGAGATAAATGAAACTAAAATAAGCTAGAACTAGAAACAATTTAGATATAGATTAGCATTGAATTATGATACTCCCGATTGTAGCCAGTTTTGAGATGGAATATGAAGAGAAAATAAAAGAGAATGTAAATACAATTTCTTTAAATAAGATTATTGTTAAGAACAATTAAGAAATAGTTATAAAGAATTGTACACATGCAATTATGAATTAGATAAAGACTCTTTGTGATATAGATTTCAAAGGTTTTCAAAAAACTAAAAAGATAGATGTATGAGTCGAAACCTAGACAGGAATTTGAAACTGTGTTCGTTTGATCTATTATAGTCAATTACTCTCCTCGAATAATAATAAATTGACACTAAATAAGTTAGTTTGTTCCAAGAATCAGAAATTGATTACTTGAACTATGCATTTGGTAATGATTCTGAAGAATGTGGCTAAATCTAAACTATCAAAATCCAAAAAAAAAGTTTGGAATATGATAAACTATAAAAAAAAATAACCAAATAACAAACTAAAGAACTATTTAAGTATTTTATCTATAATAAAATAGAAAGGTATTAAATTTATCTTATTTTCTCCCATCGTTATTTAGTAAAGGGATCGACATAAATAATCGCTAATTCCGGCGGTTTTATCGATGCAAGAAAAATTGTGTTCAAATAGCGGTTAATAAATTAATTATATGTCTAATCTCTTCGACGGAGAAGCGAAGGGTGAAGTCAAGCAGCTTCGCGACGATCTCGATGGCAACGATCCACAGGTGAGAAAAGTCGCTGCAAAGCGCGTCATCGCCTTGATGAGACAAGGTGATAACGTTCAATGGCTCTTTTCCTCTATGTTACGGTGCGTTAAAACCAATGACTTGGAGCTCAAGAAACTCACATACTTATATCTCACTACATATTCAGCGCAGGAACCAGAACAAGCAATTATGGCAGTCAACACATTCATTCAGGACTCACAGGATTCAAACCCATTAGTCAGAGCTCTTGCTGTCCGTACAATGTGCCGCATTCGCCTTGAAAGTGTAGCCGAAAATATGATTCTTCCACTTAAACAGAGATTAGCCGATACCGATCCCTACGTTCGCAAGACAGCCGCATTTGGTGTTTCAAAGTTATACGACGTTATTCCCGAAGCTGTCGAAAATGCCGGATTATTTGCCGAGCTTCTCAAACTTTTGAAGGATGAAAATCCAATGGTTGTTTCAAACACAACAGCCGCAATCTGCGAAATCAACGAGAAGAGGACCACACCAATCTTTGTTCTCAATGGTGAGACAGTTGGTCCAATCCTCTCTGCAATTACATCCTGCTCCGACTGGTGCCAGACAGTTATGTTCGATGCCCTTGCCCGCTACAAGCCAGAGTCCTCTGAAGATGCTGTATACCTCATCGACCGCTTGATCCCATATTTGAAGCACGCCAATCCAGCAGTTGTTATCGGCGCATTCAAGTGCATCTTCAACTTCATGGAGAAGGATTCCCGTGGTACAAACGAATTATTCACACAGATCATTCCTCCATTCATCACTCTTGTTACTTCAGCAGAACCAGAAATTCAGTACATCGTACTTAGAACACTTACTCTCTTCGTCCTCAAGTATCCAAAGGCTCTCTCTAAGGAAATCCGCGTATTCTTCTGCAAGTACAACGATCCATCTTACGTCAAGATGCAGAAACTCGACATCATCGTTACAATCTGCGCCCCACAGACAGCTCAGCTTGTCTTGGATGAACTCGCGGAGTACTGCAATGAAGTTGATGTCGCTTTCGTTAGAAAGGCAATTCGCTGCATCGGACAGATCGCAATCAAGATAGAAGCCGCCGCCCGCCGCTGCGTAGATATCCTCGTCTCACTCGTAAAGGGTAAGGCTGACTACGCTATCGAAGAATCTGTCATTGTCGTATGCGACATCCTTCGTAAGTTCCCAGGTATCTTCGAGTCAATCATCACAATTGTCTGCCAGAACCTCGAAGCTATTAAGGAGCCACGCGCTAAGGCTGCAGCTATCTGGATCCTTGGTGAATACGCATCCCGCATCGATTCCATCGATGTTCTCATAGATCCATACCTCGATACATTCCATGATGAGCCACCTCTTGTCCAGCTCCAGATCCTCTCCTCTCTGATCAAGATCTACATCGAGAAGCCAGATGACACCCGCGACCAGTTGCAGTACATTCTTACAGAGGCTACTAAGGACAACAATGTCCCAGATGTCAGGAACAGAGCCATGATCTACTGGCGCTTGCTCTCATCCGACTCACAGTCCGCTAAGGACATTGTCATCTTCTCTAAGGAGACAGTTGTCCACAGTGGTGCTCAGTACGATGATGCCGTTCTCAAGGAGCTTATGTCCAACATGGGCAGCGTTTCCGGCATTCTCCACGTTGTCCCAGGCGATTTCGTCAAGCGCACAAGATTCAGCCCAGATGAAGACGATGATGTTGTAGAAGACTACGAAATCCACAACTGGATGCCAATGAAGTTAAACGATACAACAATTGTTGATGCCCTCTTCGACGCCAGCCAAACAACACTTTTCTTGAAGCTTACAAACAAAATGCCAGCTCCACTTACAGATTTCGCTCTCGCTGTCGACAAGAACGCTGTAGGCCTCACATTGAACGGCCAGGCCAACTTCCCACAGACACTCGACTTCGGAGCAACTTGCGAGGTTCAAGTACCAATCAAATACGACGCAAACGCTGCATCTAAATTCGATACTCCATTTGTACAGCTCGCTATCAAGACAAGCGCTGGAATGGTTATGGGTATGGCCCGTATACCATTCGAGTTCGCTACATTGCCAAGCGGAGACATCGGCCAGGATAATTTCAGAACAGCCTTCAACTCTTACCAGAATAACGCTGAAACAAGACTTACAGGAATGACACTCGCTGATACTGGAAAACTCGCTTCAAGGAACTTGTTCGTTGTAGGTTCCTCGAAGGGACACCATTATGTCTCTTTCTCATTCAAGAATCAGGCATTCGTGGCTGAGGTATTCCAGGAGGGCAGCGATATTGTTATTCAGCTTAAGTCTGACGCTACAACCATGATGCAGGGAGTTATCGCTGATGCTAAATGGCTCTTCGCCGCTTAAAGAGGAGTTTTATTTTGTCATCTATGATGCTTTTTTTTATTTTATTTCTCTAATAAAAATAAAATCTAAAAATGAAAATTCTTTTTTTTTATGAGAATGTTCAATTAAAATAAGGTATTTTGTGGCTCATTTATTTTGACCTTTTTTTCACGTATCATGGGTAAATCTAAATGCGAATTGAAATGAATATCCATGATCAGACCATTTTTCCAGAAAAATAGGATATAATGGCAAAATTTAAAAGGAAAAATTATATGTTCTTCCAAAAATAAAACAATTTTTCAGAATTTTGAATTTTGTCATAAAAGTAGTATATGTTGAAGGGTTTTGTGACTTTTTTTGTAAACGTAAGAATTCATACATTTTTGAACGATTTTGTATCATTTTTTTTAACATATGAAGTAAAAAATGTATGATTTTTACGGTTTTTATTCTTACGTTTTTGAATAAATCAAGATTTAAAAATTTTCAGAATCGTAAGAAATTTTCACTAAACCCATACATAATGAAATAAAAAAAAATAAAAAAATAAAAAAATAAACTTTAAAAATTCATGTCTTACATTTTTTGAATAATTTATTTTTTTAATTCGTATGAAAATGAGTGTCAAGACTAACGACGTTAAAAAATTGGGATTCACAAACGAGGAAATAAAGGATATATTAGAGGAGGCGAGTTATGAAGTTAATAAATATTATTTAAGAAATTGTCAAAAATTCGCGGAGTTATTAAATGATTTAGATTATGATGGAAAAATGAATAAAGATGATGTTATAAATTTCTTATATCCCACATCTGAAGAAGAAAAACCTAAAGAACCTGATGTTTTCCCTGAATATTATGAAGAACGGATTAAAGATGATGAATATGATGAAATTGAAAGACTGGAAAAAATAAGAGATGAAATAGATGAAAAAATTAAGGAATTAAGAGAAGTTGAAAAATATAATGAGAATGAAGTAGAGGGTTTAATGAATATCCCAGCTTCAGAATCAGAAGTTCAAAAATCTCATGAAGAAAGATATAAAAATTACTTTTTGGAATCTACTAAAAATTTATTAGATGGTGAAATAGATGAAACACTTTCAGAAGAAGGCACAAAATTTATTCATAAACATAAGTTACAATTTATTGACGATGGAGATTATCCATGTATATTACTTTCACCTCCTCTTGATTCTGAAAAATTCAAAAAAGCACTGAAAAATGTAACATATGCAACAAATACGATTAAGAAAGAAGACCATGATATTTACACAAATTATTATTTAAATAAATGTACAGGTGTTGATAAAGTTTTTGATTTGTTAGATAAAATATCAAAAGAAACAATTGGTACATATAAAATTTTATGCGATTGTGGTTTCATTATTGAAGATACTACTAATGTTTCATATGAAAGAACAGCACCGAAGGAAGACGAAGTTGAAAGGTCTATACCATTCGTTATTAAGAATATAAAAGATATGAAAACTTATAAACATTATATTTATTCATTTATTTCAGAAAAAATGGAAGCAACCCATAAAACATCATCTCATCATTTTATAGCTATTCATACATTCCTTTTCAAAGTTGTGAAATTAAATAAGACAGGAATTAGATTTAATGTATCAGGGTACGCATTCTTGAGTAAATTAAAATGTATTCGTCACGTCGCAGATGATAAAAATTTATGTGTTCTTAATTCATTTTATGGACTTTAGCCCTGGACTTTAAAAAAATAAACTTTATTTTTATTTATTTTTTAATTTTTTATTCTTACATAAATGAACAAAAACGGAACAGCTAAAATGAATGATAATCAAATAAGAGCCGAAGGTAGAAGGTTATTTAAACGCTTCTATAACATTCCTGATGGTGTTAATCCTAAAACTCGTAGAAGTTATTTAAATGAAGCCATAGATGCATATGAAGGATTTGACATTTCATCAGAAAGTGAGAGGTTAGCAAGAATGTTAAACGTTAATATTGATTTTTATTATTGCGGTCCTCAACCAGAAGACGTAGACATTAACAAGGTAGACTTTCCATTAGTGGAATCAATAATGATAGATCCAGAATTTGAAACAGTAAATATTTTATTAACACAGAGTCCATGTGGAAAACTTCACGCTGACAGAATTACAGACGTTGAAGCACTCACAGGATATAAAGTTTGCCCCTTTTGCAAAGAAGAAGTATATTCTATCCGTGATGACCCAGAAAGGAAAAACCAAAGAAGATTTTTAAAGCATTGTGAGAAATGTAAAGAAAATAATGGAAGATTAATTCAAGACGTTCAATTGCAAAACACACAACAATATGCACCACATATCACGAAACAGAAGATATATCAATGGCTATTAGCTCACAATTTGCAGGAATATTATAAACCAACAAGATATTATATTACTTTTGACTTCGAAACATTAGAGACTAAAGAAGAACTTCAACTTTCTGAATGTGCAACTTTGAACGCTTACTTAAAACCATTTATGGTATCATCAACTGTCAAAATAAAGCCGCAAACGGACTCTTTGAGTCCTGAAGGTCTTTCAGACCGAAGCGGCGAGGTCGTAGACCGTGATAAAACATTTACGAGGAATTTTTGCTTAACATCAAGTGATTCGTTCATCTCTGATTGGATTGAATTTTTATTTTCAACCTGTTCATTAGTTGCTAAATCAAATATTGAACAATATGAAGAATTAATGAAGCCGCAAACGGACCAAACGGCGGGGACTTTGTCCCATACATTAAATGAAAAACAGAAGGAAGCATTTAAAGAACTTCTAGATGAGGAATTCAATAAAGTGAATATCATAGGTTTTAATTCGGGAAAGTTTGATTTAAATTTAATTCTTCGTGATTTAAACACTGCAAAATGGAAAATAAAATCAATGCTGGGTTCTTCTTCTCAATTTAAGCAAATCATTGTAAAAAAACAAACTGTCCATATGAATTAAGATTTATTGACATCAGAAATTATATAGCGGGTGGAACATTAGACCAATTCACTCAAGATTTCGGAAACAATAAATCACGTGTTAAATCCTTTTTCCCTTATCAATTCATCACATGGGAGAATTACGAAGATGAATTATATAAAGTGGAACCATTCACTCAAGATTCATTTTATTCAGCATTAACTCAAGAAACAATATCCGATTCAGATTATCAAATATATCTCAACGATGCTAAAAATTTTGAGAATAGATTAGAATATTTTATTCATTATTGCAATAAAGACGTTGAAATTATGATTGACCCAATTGATAAAATTATTGAAGAAACATTTGTTTATAAAATTGACATGCTTCATAATCTTTCTTTATCATCGAATGCATCAATGATTCGTTACGCGTTAGCATATAAGAACTTCAATCCTAACGAAACATATCCAGAAGAAGAAAATGTGGAATCAAGTTTTGAATTAACAAAAAAGTATTGGAAATATAAAATTGATTCATATAAGAAACAAGATGAAAAAGCAGAAAGGGATACTAAAAACAATGTTTCAATGGATGACTATCAATACTATCACGATTTAATCCTTTCATCTAAATGCAAAATGTGTGGTAAAGCGTTTACATATGCAAATAAACAACATTGGATAGAATCGATAATGAAAAACCACATACCAAAGAAAATTGTCAGTTAATGTGTTGTTATTGCAATGTCGTAAAATCAAATAAAGATGAAGATGTTCAACGTTTAAGAATTAATTTAAGAAATTATACATTAAAAAATAATTTACCAATGACTCTAGATTCAGTTGAAGCGTATCACATTCTCCGTAATGGAATTACTGGTGGTTTATCAAATGTTCAACATAGAGTAAATCTTAAAGGAATCACGCACATTAATAAACTTGCATATAATCCAGAAACTAAAACTGTATCAAATGAGGACACTTCCAACATTATGACTCATTTCGTTGGTGTTGACTTTAATTCATTATATCCTTCATCATTTTCATCTAATCCTCATGATTTCATTCAATATACTGACCATAAAATGTATATGCCGGGAAGATTGAATGGTGTTATCATTTGTGATACAGCAACAAAGAAAGCAAAAGCACTGGAATAATTAAGAAGAAAAATACTTTATTCGTGGCTGAAGTAAAGGGTCACATTGATGAAAAATACATTAATGATTACATAAACTTTTACCAATAATAAGAAACTTTGATATTATCACAGATGAAAAAACAATTGGCAGTTTTATGTATAATTACATGAAATCAAACAATCTACCAGTTGACCAGAAACAGAGGAAATTAACTCAGTTAGCATCAACACACAACCAATATCAACCATTTTCTTCTTATTATCTTTGGTATCTAATAGACAGATTTCATTTTATCATTGATGACATTCAATCAATTTTAACATTTACGAAAAACACTTGTTTTAATGAATTTGCGAACGAATTTATGAACGAAAGACAAAAGGCTGAATTAGAAGGAAATAAAGGAAAAAGTTTATTTTGCAAGATTTCACTTAATGGATCATATGGTTACGATGCAATGAATACACAAAATTACGCAAAGACTAAAATAATGAATGCACAGAAGGCACGCGTTGCATGTATGTCAAATAAGTTTAAAAACATAAGAGAAATAGGTGAAGATACGTATCAAGTGATGCTTAAAGATAGATTTTATAGATGTGATACATGTTTACAAGAGGCATTCTTCACTTTAGATAACGCAAAATACTGGTATTTGGTTTTCATTTATGATTTTATGTATAAATGCATGGATGTTAATCGTTTTCATTTCATTGAAGGTGATACTGATTCATCTTATTGGGCAATCGCTGGCGACCCAAATCTTCCTAACACTCAAGCATTTCAAGCAATTGTAACCGATAAAAAATTTTATGATAAAAACATTTACAAATTCGCACCTTTTGATTTCTTTTGTTTTAATGAGAAATTTAAACCTAAATTAAAGAATAAAGCTGAAGAAAAAGCACATGAGAAAAAATTATTGGGTTTAGCAATTGAGAAACAAGGTGATAACATGGTTGCTTTATGTCCTAAGTGTTATACATCATTCAACGGTTCAATTGATGGAAGTGATTTTAAAAAGATTGCACAAAAAATGAAAGGTGTTAGTTTAAGACAAAATAAGCAATTAACACCTAAAAATTATTTGGATATAATAAATGATAAAGTGATATTTGATGGTCAGAATATTAATTTACAACTTAAAAACGGGTCAATGACTCGCTTAACAATCGGTAAGACTGCATTAACAGGAGCACACACTAAGGCTGTATGTTGTGAAAATGGATGTTGTATGCCATTTATTTAATGAAATGCCACAGAAGAGACAAAAGGAACCGTTAATGATGGTTTTGATACTATGATTCAAAGAGGTGGGCACCCTTAAAACATTTATTTTATTTTTATATAAATGGATAACACAGATTTAAAAAATTTAATTGATGATTTAGTACTTAATCAAAATTTTCTTGATTATTACGATTTAAAAGCATATCTCCAAAAACATGATAACAATATAACGGGTGATGATATGGATTATTATTATTCGTATTATAAAAATGAAGTTTTGAAATATCATGATAAAATAATTTCTAAAATTAAAGACAAAATTAAAAATAATGAATATTCAAAGGGAAAAAGTAAATCACAACTTAAACAATTGAAAGATTTCAAAAATAAAGTATTAACAGAAGAAGATATTGATGAATTATATAAATTATATAAATTATATAATCCTGAGCCGCAAAAACCAAAGGAACAAAAACAAAAGGTGCAAAACGCCCAGGTCCTTCAGACCATAAATGAAGCACAAGCTTTAATTTATGATTCATTAGTTAAACCATATTCAGCCCGACTTTTAAATGAAGATCAACTTTTGGAATTCATCCTTCAACATAAACTCGAAGCGGGAAAGTATATCAAACCTTTATATACAGCATATTTAAAACAAATGAATAGAATACATCCAGAATTAATGAAGAGGGGAATGAAATCCAAAATCAAAGCAGATAAAATTAAACCACCTGCAACACCAAACCCTCCAACGACAGTACCTCCTTCAGTTAATCCTTCATCATTCACTTTATTATATCCATTTCAAACATTTAAGAAGCAAAAAGATTTTAAAAAGGATTTCAAGATATTAAATAAACCAATTGACCCAAAAATTCAACCGTTAAAGGAAAAATTTAGTCGCCCTTCATTTGCACCATATCCATATTCATACGAAATCGATCATTTAGAATATTCAAGAGGAAACGTTACTTATTTATTTGCCATTAACATTAACACTAGATATTTATATTGCATTCCAGTGAAAGGGAAAACAGAACAGGAAACAAGAAGAGCTATTCAATACTTACTAGATCATGAAAGAGTAGATAATATAAGGGGTGATGGTGATAAAGGATTTCAGGCAGCTATAACTCATTATTTCCCACAAATTAATTTTTACTTCTCATCCTCTCCATATACGTTTCATAATAAAATAGTTGATGCGGTAATGAGAACTCTTAGAGATGCGTTAGGGGTTAACGGTCAGATATACTGGGATGGAAATCATAACTCCATCATACAACAGTTAGTTATTATTATTAATACATGGCATAGAACTATAAACATGAAACCAGTGGAAATGAAAAATGATATTTCAAAAGAATGAATATTTAGAAAGCAAATGAAAGGTTGAATGATGTTAACGTGAACAAATTAATTCAGGGCTCATGAATTTTAAACAAGGGATAAAGTTTTGATTCATCTCGATTATGGAAAAACTGATAAATCAATGACAAAAAGAAGACGAAGATTTGACACAATAGCTGAATTTGTTAGATATATTAACGGCAATGCATTAGTTGAAGTTGACAATAAATTAATAGAAATTCCGATTTATTTTATTACTCCATTATATTTAAATAATATTTAATTTTTTTATTTCGTAAAAATGAGTAACAACGAAGCAGTCAAGAGTCCAGACGATGAATATAAAAAGAAACTAAACAGAATTAAATCAAAAATATGTTATTACAAAAAGAAGCCACAATGGTGGGGTTGAAAACGATAAAGAGAGGAAAGAAATAATCGAAAAATTAGAAACTTATCGTTCAATCCTTAAACTGAGTGAAGCAAAAATAAAAGAATTTAATAGAATAAATAAATTGATTGGAAGAGATGAATTTAATAAAGATGAATTTTTAAACTCTATCCAAATTTAATTTTTATTCCTCTTCGACAACATCTCTCTTTCCATCATTACTGCATAACCACATTTTCTCAATTTTAGTGGTTTGTTATTTTTAACATGTTCTTGCATCATTTTTATCATTTCCTCCCTTGTTATGATTCGTGGTAAATTTTGAGCTTGTGGGGTATTCATTTATGATAAAAATAAAAATTTGTTATCACTTATTTTATCGTTAAGTGACTCAAAGAGTCCGGAGACAAAGTCTCATGTTTTTAGGTTATTCAATAATTAATTATTTTTGAAGAACTGGGAAATAAATTTACGTCAAATATAATTTATAAAATCTTATGTCGACAGGCTACGTAGCACAGTGGTCTAAGGTGGTGTTATGGAGGGGTCAGAGTCTGTGGTTCGAACCGCGACAGTGCCGTATTTTCTTATTTTCTTTATTTGTCTTGTTTGTCGTGAATAAAAAGTATCATAAAAGTGCTTATCTTCCACGGGAATAAATAAAAAATTTACTTTATTTCTTCTTTATTTCTTCTTTATTTCTTTGTTCCCGTGGAAGAAGGGTTTTGCTTTTTTTCTCAGCCGAAATCAATGATTTTTTCATTTTTGGAATCCTTAGCGAATGAGGAATCTTTTCTCTCGTGGAAGCTTTGAACAAAAATATAATTTAGGTGAAGAGGTGAGATATCACCTTTTTATGGTAGTAGTGAAATAAAATTTTGTTATCAGTTATTTTATCATCATTTTATTAAGTTCATCTTTAGTTAATAATTTGAATGGATTCGCTAATGTTCCACCTTGAGTCACAACACTTGCCCCGGCTAATTGTGAAGAACCTGGGATAAGTACTCCATGAAATGATTTCATTGGTATCATTAATTTAGAAATAGTTGGCTTAATTAATTTGGTCATTTATGATAAAAATAAAATTGCATAATTTAAATTTTTTTTCTTTCTCATTTTCTCATTTTCTCATTTTTCATTCTGTTTTGGTTTCAGCAACTTTTCAAGTTGTTGTCTTGTCAGTAACTTTAATTTTAACTTTGGATCAAATATTGGGTTTCCATCTTTATCTCTTCCAATAACACCATATGGTAGAATCTTCATTTATACTAAAATAAAAATTTAAATTATGTCGTTTGCTCTTTTGGAGCTCCTAAAGTTTGTTTCACAAACATTGAGCATTCATTGAACTCTATACCATGCGAATACAGTCATAAATGGTGGCATGTAATCTTTACTTTGTCCCGTTGTTTGTGTATATCCTGAAACATGTGTATGGTTTCCTTCTCCCTGAGTGTCACTCCAGTAACAATTTATGGCAAATTTAACATCATCTTTAACATCATATCCTTTACCTTTTGTCATTCCTGACCAATCCCAATATCTATGCTTATGCCAACCTGCTTGAGATGTGCTTAAATCAATGTAGTGACTGTGTGCAGGTAAATTTTCACCTGTAATCGTTTTACTTCCCCCTGTTTCCTTTGAAGAGTTTGCACAATACAAAAACCTGTCGACTATTTGTTCCCATGCACCAACACCAAACATTGCTTGAGGACCTCTCACATCCATAGATGTATAAATAGAACCTACTGGGTTCATTAAATCAAACATATGAGATATTATAGGATTGTCTCTTTTGAACTTAAAATATAGTGTAACTATTTCGGGTTTCTTCTGGTTTGTGTCAGAATATTTTTTATAATATAATCTTATGTTTTCAGGGTATGTAAAATCTTGACTATAATATTTATTTTTGTCATCTTCATAATAGTATACTATTTTCGTTTTTTCTATTGCATTATATCTTTTATATCTATAATATTCTAAATATAATGTTTGCTTTTTTGGGTCTACATGTGCGTCAACACCATAGTCATAATAATACGGTGCTGGAGCTACGTTAGACAATGTCATATCCGTCATTTCATAAACTCTTAAATATTTCTTTTGTTCGTCTCCATATAAGTTTAAGTAACAGTTGTTGTCTAATGGAACTTTAACTTGTGTGCCATTATTCTTTATATAGCCTACATACATTTCATTGTTATTTTTCGGAATGAGTTTATACCGTATACCATTTCTTAAGGACTGTACAAACTCCCATCTAAAATATTTGTTTTCTTCATTGACAGAAAAGTCGCCAACAATAGTTTCAATATTTTTTGTTCCAACTAAACTTTGGTATATTTCGTTAACAAATGATATATCTGCTTTCTTTGCTAACTCATCGTTAACAAATGATATATCTGCTTTCTTTGCTAACTCATCGTTAACAAATGATATATCTGCTTTCTTTGCTAACTCATCGTTAACAAATGATATATCTGCTTTAAGGTCTAAACATTCTGAAACCCATCCTGTATCAGCTTTAGTTTTAAGAATCTTCGATGTCCGTTCATGATACCATTCAACCCTTTCTATAATTTCATTATCTTTTTCATTAACATATTCCTTATCTGCCTTCTTCATTAATTCACTAGCCACAAATCCCTTATCTGCCTTCTTCATTATGTCATTTAGGAAACCTTTTATGAATTCCTCATTTAAATTAAATCTTCCAATCTTCAAAACTTTAGGAAATGCATTTAATGCGTAATATCTCTGTTCTTCTGGTGGAATTGATGTTATATCATCCGTTATACCTTTAATTTTTGAATTCATAAATAAAATTTCTTTTATATTTGATATCACTGCACCACCTTTGCAAACGAATTCAAAATGGTCATTTTTCAATACTATCTCCAAATCTCCATATTTCAACATTTGCGTTTGTTCTGCCGTCTTTGAATTATATGCATATATGGCGTATGTAATGGTCTGTGCCTTAAGTTGCTGTGGTTGTTGTTGTTTAATCATTTATTACGATTTAAAAATAAATATTTAATCTGTTATCTCATCAGCTATTTTTTCTATTTGAAATTGCCATAATATTTCATTCATAAATTCTAAATCACAATCAAATAGGTCAGTTATTCTAAATTTAATATTTGATAAATCTTTTGAATGAAGAATAAATGAATTCCCAGATAATTGAAACGGATATGATAAAGAAAATATGTTTAAGTTGATGGATAAAATGTTTTGTATTGATGGGTAAGAGTTAGGGTCTAATGTTTGATGTGAAAATCTCATTGGGGTATTAACTTTATCACATTTGATTAAAATGAAATTAGAACCGGTGTCAGAATACAAAACATCCCCAACATCTTTTTCAAAATTTAATATCCCCAACAATGAACGAAGACGAGGAGTACAAAATTTAATTTTCAGCGGAAATTTAATAAGGTTATTTATTTCATCAAGTTCAAAAAGTTTATCAGGTTTTGATTTAAAATTTTCTTCATACCATATGATAAATGATTCATTTAAATAACTTAAAATCATGTTAATATCCCATTTCGTTATCACATTATTTATATACATATCATACGTTTTTAGGTCTACGACCCCGCCGCTATGCGGCTCATGGTCATCTTTAATAAATGATATATAATCTGAAGGGTCTAAAAGAATGGGATTAAATTTACCACTCACAGAAACGAGAGTAACATTATAAATTCCGCTAACTGTTAAATTTAATTCACAGTTATTATTCGAAATAATATTGATAATTGACATTTTTTTATTACGATTAAAAATATGGTAAAGCGTTATTTTCCAGTGATAAATAAAACTAGAATAAGATTACCTCAAGAATTCATAAATTCAACGAATAAGAAATTCATTCATGTTATAAATTTTAGTGTTTTCAGAAAATATGAGTCGATGTCATATTCATCATCAGGTTATATTTCACTTCATTCAAATTTAGTTCAATCAAACCCATATAATGACCATTTCATAAGATTTTCAGATGGTATTAAAAATGTAATTGATAGATTAAAATATGAACAGATTGACAATATCGAATTTTTGGAATTTTGGTTTAAATATCCCGATGGAAAAAAGATTGAAGTTAAAGATAAAGCTGATACTATAACAAAAACAATTACAATGACCGATCCAGATAGTGGGGAACAAAAAGAAATAAAACAAACGATAGAAACTGGTGAAAGGTCAATTATTATCGATTATGATTCAAAGGATTATTATTCGATAATGTTAATGCTTGAATATTAAATAGCCTTAACAAAGAATTTTTCAAGTGATATTTTATATTCATCAACTATTTTATTATAAATATCATTATATGTTAAATGAAGTTCAGTTGTTGTTCCGTTCTTTGATATCTTAATTGTGCTAATATCCTTTATAGGATTTATTTTTGCAACTGTTCCGCAGCATGAAACCTCATCATCTATGAAAAATTGAATCTTCACGTCTGAATCTTGAACATCACAAAGAATGGCGATAATGTGAATTAATGATTCATAAGGTAAAATAATTAAACCGGATTGGTCAATTAAATTTATTATTGAATCATAATTATCAGTTATGATATCACGATATATTTTCATTAATTCTGAATTAATGTCTATTTTATATGGCGCATTGCGACTGAATCGTAGATTCCTGGGTTCTCGATGTTTGATGAAAGAGGTGGGGGTATGTTGGATAAGTGGGAATTTCAACAGGTTCTTTACCGGGTTCAGATAAAATGATTGGGTCTCCATTCTCATGGTTTTCTTCATTCTCCTCATTCTTCGGTAAGTCACGAGTTAATAAATTTGGTTGAGTTGCTGACCTTGTTAATTCAGGACTAACATTAACTTTAACATTTTGAATAATTCGTGATTTATCATCATTTACATTATAACCAACCGTAATCTCTGCTTTTGCGTTAGTGTTCTTTTGACTAGTGAAACGTCTTCTCATTTATATTCGAATAAAAAAATATATTTAAACTTTTATTTTGCTGGAACTTTTGAATCTATTATTTCCTGTATTTGTTCATGAAGTTGATTTTTAGCATTTTCATCGAAATTAATAGACCGAATATATTCATTAATTGCATTCTTATAATCATTGATTTCTCAAATTTTCTTTTATCTGATTCCTTAACTAAATCATAAGTTAAACCTCGTTGCTGATATAATGGTTTCTTAATTAAATCTTTGAATGCTTGAGATAAAGCACCTGATGCAATTCTTGCTACTATAATTGGTTGGAATTGCTGTTTAAGTTCATCTTTAACATTTGCGAAAACTGGATCGAATAAAGCAACTTTAAAGAATTTCTTAGCTGGAATTTCAGGTCTTAAATTTGCATATTGACCATCAAACTGGTTAGAATATCGTGGTAATCCATCCGGTCCCTCTTCAATAGCATTTAATTCTTCATTGAAGTAAGAATATGGATTATGACGGTATGAATTAATTGGACCATTTTCACCTTCTCCAATGTATTGTTTAACAGCTTTTCCATTTTCATCAAATTGCATAGGATAATGTTCATTATATGCTTTACGTTTAGGATAATCCGTCATTGTTAATTTATACCCATTTATGACTTTAATATTTCCTTGACCATCAGTAACGAAAACTTCATTTATACCATCAGGTTTTCCATTTGGACCCGTAATGTCTGCTTCGTGTGCTTCCCAATTTGGACCATGACGTTTGGCATATGCTTGAGCTTCTGGTAATGTTAAAACGTTTCTCATTTGTTTAACATCTTTTTGAAGACCAGCAACAAATGAACTAATTCTTTCATTCCATCAGGAACTTTCATAGCTCTATTATACACCCCTTTTGTTTGTCCCTTTTTTAATGGAACTTGTAGAAGATTTGCTATTTCTGTCATGTTTAATTATAAATAAAAAATAAAAATTAATTATAAAAAGTTAATCAAATTTAACACCCCTTTATTTAAATCAACTATTATTTTCCCATGTTCACCTAATTGCTGATATTGTGTGTAAAGTTCATTAATGCTCATTGGTAAATTCACTTGATAAAGCATAACATTCAACTGTTGACGACTAAACCCACTGAAAATGAAAAGTGTTGATAGATTTGATTTAATGTTTGTGCTTAATGCTTTGAAATATTGAACAGCCATAAAGAATGAACACTGAATGTGTCGACATTGAGTTAATAACTGATTAAAATATGATTTCTCATTTGTTATTAGTTTTGATTTCACCGCATCATCTAGAAAAATGAGTGAATGCAAAAATTCTCTATCAAAATTTGAAATAGAAAGTGTTTCAAATAATTCATCCCGTTGTTTATCAATAATTTTATCCTCTAATCCTTGCTTCTTGATTGTATTATATAATTCTTTATACATTACAAAGTTTTTTAAATAATCTTCTGCTTCTTCTTGTGATAAATAAATAATTGGAATTTTGATTAAATGCTTTAAAGATTCAAATGTATCATCTGAAGGTGAACCTGAACGGTTGATATAAATTAACACATGTGAATAGGGTGAAGTGTTAGCAATAATGATAATTTGTTTTAATATCGTTAATGTTTTACCTTTATTTTGTTTACCAATTGCTGCAGTGATTGAATTTAAGTAACATTCAGAATATGGAATTTTCATTAATTTTTCCTTAGATAGAGCATTTCTATTATCACTCAATGCTTCATTAATCATATCATCTACGTATGTATTATATACTCCTGCTAATTCTTCATAAGGGGTGGATGAATTTAAATCCATTTAATCAAAAATAAATTTATAATTTTAAACATTTCTATTCATCAATATTTCATCATATGAACTTCTATACTGTGGTGGTGTACCTGTTGGATGATATTTCAAACCTTCATCCGGTGTCCATGTCCAATATGTAGTCCTAGTAAACCAAACCTGAGGAGGATTTGTCACTTTTGAACAGTAAGTGTCATTTTCACCCTGAATGATTGGATAAGCTTTCACTTGTACTGTAACTTGTGAGTTGAAAGTTTCTAATCCATCAAAGAATATACCCGCTCCATCACGTTGAACTGGAATAGTGCATAAGAATGAAGTTTGGTCTTTCCATGTTCTAGCTAATGGTGTGCCATCATCATCATTCAGTGGTCTAGTTAATGAGTCCTCGTATTCTTCGTGCATTCATTCACTCCATCTAAATCAGAAGCTTGAAGCATACGTGTAAAGAATATGTCACCCACTGTGGTCATCGCTTGATCGGGGAAGTTTCTGGAATCTATAGTGACCTGAAGACCTCGAAGCATTGGATTTTCTAAAACCGTTCTTTGCATTGCATTCTTCGGAAATGTTAACACAACATCTGTAACATTATGAAGAGCGTATGAGAAATCTGAGCTAATACCTTCAGGAGTGATGCAACCTCCATTTAGTGAACGAACGTCAATATGTTGAGCTGGAATCATGAATGGATCTTCCTTACTAAATAAACGTGGTATTGCTTTAACTGATTCTTCAATTAAACCGTATCCTGGTGTAATGCATTTATCCTCTAAAACTTCCATCTTTGTGCATGAAATAATAACGTCTTCAACTGTTGCGTCAGCAGATGTAGCGGCTAAGCTTGTAATTAATTTGGCAGGAAGTCCGATTTGTTGGAATTTGCGATCATATTTATAAACATGATTCATAATCTTTTCATAATTTTCATCAGTTATCTTTTCATAAACGTAATTTTGTAAATCAGCAACTCTTAACGGGTCAACCTGACAAAATACTAAAGTATCCCTGAAAACATAATATTTAAGAATGATTTCACCAAATGATTTAGGATAATCATCGAACGCCTGAAATGCTAACAAATCATTTACCGGAATAATCATATCAAAAGTGACATCAACTTCTTCATTTGCTTTCTTGAAAACTTCTGAAGGGTCAATATATTTACCACATACTGAGTTATCATATTTTTGAACATTATTATATAACGAATGAACAAACTTTTTAACTTTCCTTTCTGATTTTGGTTTATATGT